GTAAAGCCTGAGACACCGTTCTGTCATCAAGTTTCTGGGATGCAGGTTCAGAAGAGCCAAGCATGATGTGGTTTTATCAGGCTTTGCAATGTAGAATACTTACTAAAGAAGCATTCAGTGCTTTAAGCTGAGCAACAACTGATATTACCCATCGGAGGAGTGCCTACTAGTATCCTGATTAAAGGGAAACTAGGAATTCTTCGTTCCATAGGATCATTTTAGGTATGGGGCAGAGACACATCTGTGCCTTCTCTCTGTATTTCTTGGCACTTGACTACATGTTACTGGCTTGTTTACACTGCCAACACATGGACACAGCCAAGAACCGCCTTCTTCCTCTTTCTTTCTTTCTCGGAATGCCATTAGTGGCAAAGGGATCAATGTCTCCTGTGTCACTGATCTGGCTCTTTCTGCCAGGTCTGAATCCAGCACACATCACCTATTATTCTGCCACCTCTTGAAGCTAAAAGATCCACGCTGCACAGCTGCCCAACAGCTGGCAAAATATATTGCTTTTTGTCATTCTCCCTTACTTCAGCAACACCAAAACAATCTCGGTTTCACTCAGATTGTACCAGCCCAAGAACAGAAGTTTATAACGTGTTTATATACAGAAGTGTATACAATGGTCTTTGCTTTGCCGTTATACATGGAATGGAGAGGTGGTTTTTCCCTTGAGAAAGTCAAAAGCAGCAGCAGTCATTACTGACTTTCAGGAACCACAAAGTGATTCCCCCTCCTTACTTTAAGGGCAGAATCTTGCCATTCTAGTCAAGAACAACGACAAAACACTCAAAGCTTAAGCATAAGTTGTAAAGATCTAGCAATGTTTGCCTTTGGGAAAGCAAACAGCATGTGTTTAACCTGGCACACACGAAGTTGTTTGAAGTTCTCGAAAAAATTTGATTGTTAAAAAACCAAAAGAAGAAGTTGTTTGAAGTTCTTGAAAAATTTTGATTGTTAAAAAACCAAAAGAAGATTTACTTGGTAAAACCACAATTCTAAGGTGAAAATTGATGCGAATTTTCACGTGAACTGAGCGTGCAGTATTAACTGTCACTTTGGTACATCACTCTGAGCACAAAGTTTCTAGGTGTGCTTGGGTGCCAGGAAGGTAAACACAGGCCATGCTACACGAAAGAGCAATTCTGAAACACAAATGAGAACATTTTACATTACTGCTGGGATTGAGACTGGATTCAATTCTTCATTTCTAAGTCTTACCATAATTGAAGCTATTTCCTCAGGGTTGTCACCATCCAAATCGAATTTGAAAGTAACCATTTTGCGATTGTGTGTCTCCAGCTGGCATTCCACTACCCGATCACCTTTATTTGAAACCTAAAGCACAGGAAACAATAGTTCAAACCAAAAGCTTGAAAACCTAAGGCTTGTGCTTTCAAGCTCAGAAACAAACCAAAGGTGCTGGTCTAATACAAACACATTCTCTCTTTCCAGTCTAATAAATGGTGCCATGTACAGCATTGCTGTTTCTGAGGATACACCAAATATTCTGGAATAGTCTGTGGAATCACTGGTGGCTAAGCAAGCCAGTTTTGCCATATCTAATGCTCCACAAAGCTCTTAATAGATGTTTGGAACACTGACTCCAGAAGCAGAAGAAATACACTGGATAGCTTGTGTGATTGGGGTGGGCACAGAACAAGTCTGCAGAAGAGATTCCTCAAAGGAAAATAAACTTTTTGAAGCCCAAAAAAGGCACCCTCACTGTCACTGTAATGAAAGATACTCACATTGAGAATTCTCAGTTTTGGCCTAGCAGTCTTCTCATGGCGAGAGCGACTGCGGACAGACCTCCGCATGTGACGTTTCGTAGTCCTCCCTTCATGCCTTCCGCTGGAAGCTGGAACATTCTCGTTGCCATCACTCAATCCTGAAGCAACATCAGAATGTGCACTAAAAAGAAAAAACACAGCTTTACATTAGCATCCATCCACTCCAAAACCGCAACAGTACGGTTTACCCTACCAGATGGCATTCTCTTCTGGAGAGCAGGAGATGCCTGTTAATCACAGAGTAGGGGAGAAGAGCTCTGTCAACACTTAGGGTTGCTTGAATAGCATTTCTAACAGTAATTATTTAGCTACTCTTGCAAGCAGAGTTGTACAAATGTATCTTCTGAATATGTTTTCAAGCTATTTGGAGTTTAAATGCCGTGTAAGTGCCAAAAGGACAGAAAAACCTCCTTTATGATCCATTTGACATAACAAACAGGATTAGAAGTTAAATCACTACACAATCCTATTTACCCCCTCCATCCCCCACTGTAAATCAAAAATTGGCCCACCTCTCATGAGCCTATCATTCCTCTAGGAAGTTTACTTCCTCACATCCTCAAGAACACCCCCAGTAAAAAAAATATCCCTCGTGCAAAAAAATACCTAAAGATCACTAAAGGAAGACTAATGTAACACATGAAACTGAAATTCAGTTTGGTGAAGAGAAAACAACACTTACCTATCCATAGAGGAAGCCAAAGGGGTAGACTGAGCAGGCTGTGTTGCTGGAATAGTCTCCGAAGGAGCAGTCTGTGAGACTCCCTGAGTACCCTATGGATAGAAACTTACATCAAGAACTCCCCCAAAGAGCTCCCTTCCTTTTCAAGTAACCCAGCAGTCTCCAACGTTTCCTCCCAAGTCAGTTGTAAAGCCAGAAGCGCTACCTTTCTAGACCTTCTGACAGCTGTCATTTAGACAGCTCCAATTTACAGAAGATGCTAGAGCAAACTGCAGTGAAGCAGATCATTTATGGGGAAGGGTAGGGAGAGGAGATCAGCCATCCTTTCTAACGCTGCGTGTCACTACAGTTTGCCATGCAGCCGCAGTCTTACTAACAGAATGTGCGAAATGCAAGCCAATGCAGAACGCAAAGGACAACTCCAGTTCCCCCTAGCAAGAACAAGGCTGCAGGGGATAGGCATAACCACAGATTCTCAAAGGCTATCAGTTGCGGCTTGTCTTTGCTACGGCAAAGATGTTCTACAGTGCTAGCAAGAAGTGAAGTGTTAACAGGTTTTTGCCTGCAGGATGCACACTCACTTCCCAACAGAACAGCCAGTGGCAACAAGGTCCCCACATTGGCATGACATTCTGCTGTAAGAAAAAGGTCATTTGAAATATTAATTCCCAACTGAAAACAGGCACGGAAGGGATTAGTTCCCAACACACACATAATGTTGCTTAAGTCAAACGCCCTAAATGCATCACTGCGTTACATTCAACATATTTACCTCCAAAACTGCCTGCTGCGAGGAGGCGGAAGAGGCCTGTTGTGCTAAACTCACTGTAGGCTGGGGTACTTGAACCTGTCCTCCTAGGCTGCCCATGGGAACTAAAACATTCTGCTCCACATACGGCTGCACAACAGGAGCAAGATAGCCCGGCTGAGCCATCGCGTCCGTGGGTAAGGGAGGGGACAGTACGGCAGTAGGAATGCTAACAGAGGCCACAGCAGAGGAAGGTGCAGCGTTCGAGTCGCCAGGATACTGAGGCGGCAACCGAGACGGGAAGCCCTGGAATAGAAACGAGGGAGTCAAGTTAGTCAATGTCAGAGCTAATCAGGGAAAAACAAGAATTAAAAATAAAAGAACATCAGTTTCGTAGGCATGTTCCAGCCTTCCCTACTTGTTCAAGCACTCCCACAGACCACCTTCCCAGAGCAGCAAACCGTTCATACGGAGCCAAAGCTCAGCCTGCAAATCACCATGCTTGAACAAGCAAATTCCCACTCAGTTTCAAGTCTCAGGCAAAACAGTCTTCATCTCCCAGCCCTCACAGCTGCCTATTTAGCCTCATATTTTAAGGCCCAAGACTGGAAGTGACTGAAGAATTTTCAGGCTGAACAACTACTGCCTAGATGTTACACAGCTGCTGCTGATCCTTGAGAATAACAGCAAAAATGCTCTTGTGTTCTTCCTGTGCTCTCATGATGAGCTCACCCAGGAATTGAGGGACATGCCAACACACCGTTTGTTTTACGGCACTCCTTCAAATCCCAGTGCAGGTGTTTCTACATGTAGACCATTTTTCTTCTAGAAGAGTCATATGCTGAGTCGCTACTGCCATCACCATTCAGCGTGCCATTTTCACAGCGATCTCAAAGCTGAAGCAGTCCGTGCCCAACAGCCTAGCATTTCATGGCTAGCATCAGGTACCCACTTCACGTTCCATGCCATCTGACCTATTTCTAGCAAGTGTCCCCCACTTACCACCTCCCTTCCCAGACTCAGAATGAAAAACGGACATTGCTGAATATGCTGCCATTGATTTTCTTTCCAACACACATCCCCCATTTTTAAACATCATTTTTAAATTTTTTTTTTTTCCCAAGTTGACAAATCTCTTGGATATGCAGCTGCCCTCTTTCACACAGTGGTTGACCACAGTTCTGCACTATGATTCTGTCATTTTAGACAAATTCCATTACCTAATATGAAAACCTCAAAACACCAGCGTGTCCAAAGACTTTTTTCCCCCCTCCTTAAAATGGTCCTTTACCACAACAGGAGTCGCCTTCATGGCTTAATGGCTCTCTTACAAGAAGTGAGTTGGCCCGGGCACACAGTTCAGATCTGGTACCTCAGAGGAACAGGAAAAAATGTGGAGAAGAGTTCTGCTGGCTTGCAACAATACCTGGTAAAGAGCATCTCCAGCAGGAACTGAAGCTTCAGCAGCTTGTCCAATGCTGACTGGCAATCCCACGGACTGGACAGCCGGCTGCAGGAGCTGCGGGAGAACCTGGCTGGGCAACTGAGCCACAGGCTGCATCACTGTGGGGAGCTGGCTAGGGCCAACGGTTGATCCTACAGGGACAGCGGTTGCCGCAGCAGACGTTGCCAGCGTGAGCAATGGCTGATTCATGCCAGCTGCCATTGAAATGGGCAGTGACTGGAAAGCCGGCTGCGCCACTGACACATGAGGAGCTGCTACGGGCAACTGCGAGACCGAGAACTGGGGAACCATGGAAGTTGGCAAGGGCTGTCCCATGGGTAGGAAATGAGAGCCAATGGGGACTGATGGGGCAACTGAAGGCTGAGGGAGAGAAGGTGCTGCAACAGGTAATTGAGGCTCGCCTTGGATGATCGACACTGGTTGGGAAACAGGAAGCTGGGGAGGTAAAGAAAATAGAGATAGATTTTTTTTTAAAAAAAAAGCAGGGTTGCAGAAAGCAGAAATTTTTACGCATTAGTCAAAGAAAGAATTATTCAAGTTACAGCACTCTGTTAAAGTGGGTGGGGAGCACAGTTGGCAGAGTGGCTGGGAAGTTGGCTGGAGTTCCCAGAGGTCCTCACTTCGCAACACTTCCTCTGAAGAACTCAACAGGCTCTTGAAACAGACACCCACAGAGGGTGAAAGAGCAACATTCGAATACCCTGGAGCACTGACGTGCATAAACAGAACCGAATTCCCCTCAGCTCTGCCCCCAGAGCCCAGCCTGCCTTCTTACAGTAAAGAAGTGCAAACCTTTCAACAAATCTGTCAGCTTTGGGTATGGGGACTAAAGCAACGGAGAATGAAAAGCCACTGTGCCAGCATTCCGAGGATGGCAGGGGATATGTCAATTAAAGCCAGCGAACAATGCAACTGGAAAGGCAGTTTAGATGGACAAGCAACAAAACAAACCATTTCAAAAACAAAAATCAAGGCTCACATGTTCAAGACAGAGATATGAGCCAAAATGAAGTAATACTCAGTAACAGAAGCTTCTTGACCAGGTAGTAAAGGAGAAGAGCTGAATAAGAAAGATGACAGAGTGGAGAAGACAGTCCTTATGGTTCGCTACCTAAATAAGTGAACGTTTTACACACATCGTGGTGCAGAAGATAGACATTGATGGGAAGCAGAGAAATGACAAGTTCCTGAAAATCCATTCATAAGACACCATTCATCGATACGCCTCAGGATATTTTTCACAATTTAAAGATCTTTGTGTGTAGAAGAGCTATCCCTCCCTCAAATTACTCACGACTGCCACATGTGAAAGAAAGGGTTTCCAACACATTTTCCAACAAAACTGAAAGTTGTGGTACACTAAGAATGCTAATATCTGGATGAATGTTTTGGAACCATTAGAAAAGATGGCAAAAGTGAAAGTAGCAGCATGTTGAATTTGCTAGCTGTGAAGAAGAAAAATCTTCTGCTAGAAAGAGGAATTTTTGTTTACCTGTGTCCCAGCTGCTGCCTGAGGCATTGGCATAATCTGTGAAGTTTGAGTTTGAGAGACAGTTTGGGTGGGAGGGGCACCAGCAGAAACTGATGGCTGCTGCAGCTGGTACTGTCCAGGCTGTTGGGAAGAGGCTGTCTGCTGTGCATTCTGTAGTAGGGAAAAGAGGCAGAAGCTATTTTTTCACCCCAAAGAAGGTTTTAAAGCATATCCTGTTTAAATTCTAGTTTTACTCCCTCATAAGTGACAGTGGTTCTGCTCAATCTCGAGTCAATTAAGCTTTAGCAATCACTTATTAGCATCACTAATACAACTCCATTATCGGCACCAAATCTTGCAACAGAGTTATTTCACCTGTGAAAACAAGAATGAAGATTCTATAAAGGAAGAAAAAGCAGGTAAGAGAAGATGATGTTGCAGAAAATAGTATTTCCAATTAGAAGAAATCATGAGAATGAAGTCTGCCTGCTTAGACAGTCTAACTTCCAAATCCTGACATGCCTCCCCTTGAATGGGACCTCCACTGCAAGCTCAAGTAAAAGGTGGGGAAGACAGACACATAAAACCAAAAATTCACATGATTCTAGAAATACATTTTAGAAAGTCAATGAAGTTCATCTCACTCATAGCACGTTAAGATGGTGTGAGAACCAGAGGATTCCTTTGCTTTTGTCCAAAACTATGGGTTGAAGGGGATCAGAGGTAGTCAAGTTGCTCTTAAGAAGTCAAAATCCTATACTATAAGTATTTCAGTCCCTGGTCTGGGGAGTGTGATCTTACCTGCTGAGTGTGTTGGGTAGGTTGGGATGGCACCGCTGCGCTGCTTGAAGCTGACTGGCCTTGCACCTGTGTCTGGAGGAGGGAAAAAAGACAGAATGAGCTTGAAAAGCCCTAGGATTCCTGCAGCAAGCAGTTAAAATCGTTTTTGCCTGGAATGATCTGGTTGGAATAGGTCTCTAGCTGACCTCTTGGACAGCTAGTCCTTTTGGAGTCCTTTTAGCTACATTCCACTATGACAACCAGAAAGCACAGCAATGTACAAGAGCTCTGAACTCATCATTATAAGTTTTCCAAAACAACCAACGCAGAAAATCTTTGCAACCCACGTGCCCCTCAACATGAGGCAGATCAGCCTATCAGCTGCTTCTTCCACTGATGATGCTTTAAGAGCAGGGTGCCTTGGTATAATAAGTGGAAATACAGGCATTGAGTTTTACCTTTACATGTGTTCTAGACACAGTTAGGTGGGGAGATAGGAGACAGCTAGAAGGAAATAAAACTACCTGTTGAGAAAAAATGTCAAATATATACAGGATTCTAGACCAATAAAAAGTGCTCAGTACATGTTGAGTGCCCTTTGAGACGCACATCAAAACACAAGCTAGAAATCATTTCTAGACTCGCCACCATTCAAAGGCTATCAAAAACTGGATAGTAAAGAATCTGGGGGTCCACATTCTAGCTGAAACAATTACTGAATGAATAAGCAATGAAAAAAATGGAGGAGTGGCATACAAATGAATGTGAAGGATGTAGAGGAAAATGCAATGGATTTTCATCATTATTTTTGTGGCTGACATCTTTAATCAGATCCCAGGATTGTCATTATTATTTTTGTGACCATTATATTCCTTTACCAGATCCTGGGAGACAGCTAGACAATGATCTCCAGATGAGTTCTCTGAGCATGCACCACTGGGGTGAACTGCCCTCATAAGAAAACGTATCTGGTGTATCATACCAGAAATATCTACCAAAATTCCTTAATGCTGTGATCATCCAGCTTGTAGAAGCTTATTAGGAACAAGTTTATTAAAATTACATACTTGTTTAATTATAGAAACTTTGGGGAAAGCAGACTGCCAATGAAAAGAACCATTTTTTTCTTTGCTGTTTTAGAAGCTTGAGGCCCTTACTGGCTAGGATCTAAACGTGTACACTACCCCACTGCTGTAACATCTATTCACACTGAAGGACAAACTTGAGTCGAATTCTGGTCTTCTAATGAATTACATAGAAGATCCCAGAATTTATATTCTGCAAGATAATGGTGATCCCCCACCGCGTTTTCCAGACATATTTTACCACCAACCCAAGTCACCTCCTGAAGTTTAACAGAGGTGGGTTATGAAGAAACAATCCCCAGGTGATTTTCAAAACTTCTTGCATAGCAGCTCCACTCCACAAGTTCTCTTACAGTATAGAAATTACTACCTATTAGGCTGTTTATTAAAGCTGTTCCAGCTTTATTAAAACATCCTTATTACCCCTTACAGAAAGCCTTAAATACTTAGCTCTTGATCTTACCACAAAAAGCAGAGATTCTCCTCCTGTTCCTTCACACAAATCCCAAAGTTGCTAATACACCAATAACTAAAATGTCAGAGAGCCCCTAATTCCAAGAACAGAAGGAATGAGAAATCTACTTAAATTAAATCCTTTCTGTTCACAGAAAACTCTTATGAAAAGTTTCAGACTACAAGTGCAGACACAATGTACATAGACAATAGGCCTCCGTCACAGCGTACAAAGGCGTTACGGACAACTGCAAGTGCAAATGCCATATATACTGATAAAACATGTACCTCCACACTAAGCCTCAGGCCTCAAATTCTGCTTTTAAGAACACCATATCCTAGGCTTATAAGGAAGCAATACTCATTAGCAACAGTTGTCTGTGCCACTAATTTACTACTCAGCTAGTTTCTTTAACGATTCTGCAAGCACATTTCCAAACCTTCGTACAGGTACATAACATAGCTCCTTCCATTCCTCTCTTCGCAAGCCTAGAAAAAGGCTCTTGCATTTTGGACAGTCCCCAAATCGACCCTGTTGTCTAATGAAACATTAATCATACAAAAGTACAACTTCAAATTACACATTCTCATTAAATTGCTAAGGAGCAGGAACAAAAATACAAAGCAAGTTTTAAAAGCAGAGAAGATACATTTCATTAAATCCATTCTTTATAAGCCATTTTGGTACTCCAGCTTGGGTTTTTTTCCCCCAAAGAACAACTAGTCCCAGGAGGAACACTGACCCTTTGTTACCCTTAACACAAAAGCCCTACCAATATTCCAGCCGAAGCTGAACACAGACCAAGTGGTTGCTGAAGCCTATGTCATTGCAGCCTGGTCAGTCAGGGAGACCCTAGCGTACCCCTGACTCGGTGGAAAGGCACCCCCATGGACACTAATACTTAGAACCACATGGAGCAAGTCTAAAAGCAAGGCTCCCCTTTAGGTGCAAGGTATGACTTAGAGAAAGTAGAGAAATTCTGGAAGGGTTTGCTCCTGTAACCTGAGGATAGAGTGCAGGTGGTCCTGATGAAAGCGAGGTGGACAAGGCCTGCGGAGTCGAGGCTCCCTGGGGGAAGCAGATGAAGAGCTGCGACTCTTGCAACACCTTCTGAGGCAGCTGAACAATGGGCAATGAGAAGTCTGAACCAAAAGCAGACGATGACCCCCCTGTAGGGGGGGGAGACTGGAAATCGACAGTGTCAGAGGAAGTCAGCTGTGAGGAATCACTGGAGTATTCTGGGCTTCCTTCCGGCCAGCTCCACCTGGCAGACCCCCCTCTGGGACCTGCTAACTCAGGACCAAGATAGTTAGACTGCTCCTCTGTCACAGGCTGAAGCCGACCATGCAACCCTATGCCTGGAGTGGATTCCTCTTGACTGGTCTCCATAGAACCCCGGCGGCTTCGGTAGATGTGCTGGGGTAAAACGGCCCCTTCTGCTGGCGCAGAAGTCGGTGTGTGCACATGGAACTCAAAGACACAGCTCGCTCTGCCATCACCACTGTGAGAGAGCACAGCCGGGGCAGAGTGTGGAACAAATACCTGGTGGAACGTCATCTGAGCAGGATCTGCACTCAGAGGAGCTGAAACACTGGATAATGGAGAAAGGGGACCCATCCCAGAATCCAGCCTCAGGTTCTGAACGTGTCTTGCCAGGTACGCTTGCCCCGATTGAAAGTCGAACACAGAGCTTTGTGGAGGACCACCTTGCCCCTGGTTTGACTCAGAGACCTGCTTCAAATGTTGTTCAGTCGCATGAGAGTTATAAGCTACTTGATCATACTGCTCCGATACCTGTGATGGATAGTGCATGCCCACCAAATATACAGCTTCCGGATGCATTCTGTAGTGAGCATCCTCTGGAGGTGTTGGTCCAGATCTATAGTCACTCTGTACAGGAGCTGGCTCAAACACGGGGTTAACTTGCACATGCAGAGGCTCTCCAGCGACTCTCTGAGCTGCTGTGCCCAGCATAACGAACGCCTCTGGTGTCCAATTGGCGGGGCTACCACCGGGCGGAACTAAGCTCTGGCCAGTCTTCAGCAATGGCTGGAAGTGGCAAGTTTGGGCTTCCAAAAATGAAGTGCTCTTGCGCCGCTGAGCGACTGCCACCTTCGGCGGGCAGACAGGTGGTGGCGAGAAAGACACCGGCCGTTCATGAACGGTTGGGAAAAATATCTGTGAATCTGGGAACGTTGGTGTTCCCCCACGCGGATGCTGAGGCTGTATCGACATGAACAAGACAAGTAATTCATACATTAAAAGTGAAAGCACATCAACATGCACAGTTCTAGGCACAACTAGGCAGTTCTGTGAAGTAACTTTATAGAATGACTATTCAATTCATGGTCAAAAACATACAATACTTAGGAAGTTTAGGTGAGTCGTAAATATCTATTAAATACATCCGTGGCAGGCATAGCTACAAATGGAAACATTTGCTGGTGTTAGAGCTGCTTTTCCAGTCCAAATCGAGAAATTCAACAAAATAAACCAGTACTGCTCCTGACAATGAGATGAGATGTATTGTCCATCGTGATCAGTGCCTAAAGCCAATCAAGCCCCTGAGGTTACTGCCACATGGGGAATTTGAAAAATCAGAACTTGACAGCAACAACAATGCAGAGCCTCTGGTATGCATTTAAAGGTAACACGGCATTAAATTTTAATGTTATCCAATGTAAAAACCACTGTGCTAGTGTCCTGCCAGGAGCGTGTTCTGTACGCAACCCGGACACCTAAAGAAACCGCTCATGAAACAAAACTGAACCATTCCAGCTCATAGATGAAAAAAACCTATGATAAAACTGCAGAGCCTTTGATTCTGCCCTATCTGATCACCTGTTTTGATCCCTTTGATCATATCTTTTGATCATACCTTTTCACATAGGAAATCAGCACTCACAGAAACAAACCTAACTCTTGCCTGGACAACAATACATTCACAGGTGTAGTAACAGCAGAGTCCCCAGGCAATTCCACTCCAGCTGATGCAGTACTTCAGATGAAGCTAGTCTTATTTAAGATATGTAAGAAAAAATTAGTTCCACATTTTATCATCTCTGCCTACAGTATGCTGATAAGAGACACTGTATTATCAACCCTAAAGGGAAAAATCCCTGCAAAAGTCAGTAGCAGATATACCAACTTTAAGACAGATGCCATTTATGACTCTTGCAACTTGCTGTTTCCACACATTTGTTTCCTCCCATCCCCTTTTGTCTGGAAAAGCAGCAGCAAATTTCCATATTGACCAACATGAACAAGAAGGTCCTACAGGATGAAGGACCTTTCCTATGTTCTGAAAACTAGTTCCACATACTTCACTTAGAGAAGTGTGTCTCAAAATTTCATGTAAATCAAAGCCCAACACTGAAAACAGACTACCTCCTGTCCTGCAAGCTATCTTGCATCTAATCTTCTGAGAAAGGCTTGGCTTCTTTCCATTAAAGAAGCAGCCGCAGTGGCACTCCTGATTAAAAAACTATTTACATTCATATTGAATTTCTAGTATCAGCTAGAAATTCAGCTAGCCAAAGCTTTTACAATAACCAGCCATGGCAATCAAGCTTTAGAAGATGGTTGTTTTATGCAGGGCTTAATTAACATTCAGTGCTTACTTAGAAGTTGGAAAATAAAAAGCTGCTCTTCTACCTTAAAGGGATAAGAACTAGTCTTCCCTTTACCTTCTGTGGTACAACTGGGTAATTCACATTTATACTATCCTAAAACACAAAAACCAAATGGTCAGCCACTGTTGGATAATACTTAAGTGCACGCTTCCCAGAAAAATACCAACATTCCAGCAGCACAGCATAAAGTATAAGGAATCAGGTCTTCATTTCTTAATTTTAAAAAGATGCCCAGAGCCCAGGATGTATTTAATAACTTATCTTACTGTGCCGGGAGGCAAATGGTAACACATACAGGACTGACAGAGAGGGAGGGCAGGCTGGAGCGTCGATGCTTGCGTGGAGAGGCAGAGTGCATGGGCAGGACACTTTCCAGGGCTTTAGAAAGCTTTTCTGCAAAGGTTTCTTCAGGGACAGTCCGAAGGTAGAAAGGAGAAAGAGGTGCAGACAGCGCTGGTGGTGGGGTGCAAGGAGCACTGAGAGGGATGCAGGACATAGAGGGAAGAGCAGGAAGGTGGGGGACACAAACTGACATGCTACGACCACGTTGAAGCTAAAGGAGGAAAACAAAAGTTAAGAATTGAACACTTAAAAAAAAAAAACCAGCAAAATCTACAATGAGGTAGAAAAGAAATGCAGACACACAATGAGAGGCCCAATACTACGTGACTGCTATGAGTGCAAGAAGATATGAGAAATGCTGAATGAATGCCAACACACTGGGAAGAGGCTATGTGCACCGCTGAGGGCCGACGCTTGCTTTGGGTTACTGAGCAGTGCGGGAAGTTCCCCAGCACCCTTACGAGCAGCACGGGGAAGGCAGAGCAGACAGGAGAGACTTTTCTCTGGGGCCACTGATGCAGCCCACACTCTGTGTACTCAGAGCATCTGGTAGTCTGACAAACAGAAACACCTAAACAGATACTGATGACCTTTCAAACTCTCATTCTCACTTTAGAGAGCAGAATTAGAAAGTTTGGAGTGTTTATACGTATCACCTCACCAGTCTCTCTGCTGGGGCATCTCCTGCCTGAATTAAGTGGACTAAGCATATGCAGTTGGCTCTATTACCATTAAAATTTAAACGTTACATATTCTACAACATGAGTTGCATAAATAAGTCTGTTTAATGTGTGGAAGATTCAGTAAAATGAGTCTTAGGCGAGCATTTTCCAGACACTGAGCCAACAAAAGCATCAGGATTTTGTAATCCTGCCACAATCCAGAAGGCCACAGGTCAAAATACAACCGAATTGGCAGAATCAGAATTAATGGGTTTAGGTTATTTGGGGGTTCGTTATTACTTGGTTTGGTGTGGTCTGTTTTGCTATATTTGAGGCAAATAGAAAGAGGCAGTCTTCAACTGCAAGTTTTCCCTCTCTAATGGCATACGCCTCTTACGGATGTAATCCACAATTTCTTAACATAAGTGAAATCACATACAGACCCTCCAGGGAAAAAACCTCAAGATATCCAGTGGAGATCTGATTTTTGAGATTTCTGTGGTGAAAACAACTCACCAGACTGCTCAAAAATTTGTGAGGGGCATAAGGGAACTCACAGAGTTAAATAAGTAATTTACTCATAATCTTCAGCTGTTCCAAGGCAGGACTAGTTATACATGCTGTTCCTTTGTCTAATTTATCTAACCTGCTCAGAAACATTTCTGGTTATGGGGACTTCAGTACTTAACTGTCCTTGTTGGCCAGAAAAAAAGCCCTTCCCACCCAATAATTCCAAGCTGCAGTTTAGGCTTATTATTTCTTATTCTACCTGACAACAGTGCTGTGATCTGATCAGCTGCCTCCTATTTTACAGCAGCCTTTTACAGCTTTCTCTCTCAAGCTCATGTTCTCCTCCAGCCTTCCCACACAAACCGTGTTTTCTGTCTTTCTGGCAGCGGTTTTTTGACACTCTCCTCTGAATTCTCTTCCAGTTCACCCTCAAATTCGCTCAAGGAGGGTGCCCAGGACAGACTTACCAATGGCCAAGAGCAGAACAACTACTTCACATAAGATGTTTGCCTTTTCACGATAGCATGATGTTTTTGACCATGTCCGGCTTGCGGTTGAACATAATCCCTGACCCTTGGGTTTTTGGCAGAATTGGTGCCTAGGCACAGTTGTTGCCCATCCTGTACTCGTGTAGCTGATTATTCCAGTTTAAACATGAACCTTGTTCCTGTCCTGATTGACCTGTGTTCTCTTTCTTTTTAAGGCTATTTGTCCAGTTGTCAGTATCGTTTTGACTTGTCATTCTGTCTTCCCAGTGAACTGTTAGTAGTTCCTGTAGCATTCTACTCAGTCCTGTCCACCTCCTGGTACCACTGTGGTCATCATGAGCACATTTTAGTAGTGAACTAGGCAGTTTGACTGTACCTGTCATATTCTTGTTCTCTCATCCTCCTCTCAAAAGATTAAGGTCCTTCAACCTGGAATCTAGCCATCCCAAGGCACTGAAATGGCTTCTGGTCCCATATATGCCCCCACACCAAAATATGGCTTACCCAGAACAAGAGCTTGGAGGGATTAAGAACTCATTTTATCAAGAACTAGCAGCAACACGTGCTTCAGGTTAAGAGCCTTTGAAAAAGATGGAGATCCTTTGCTGGGGAGTGAGACCAGCATGTTTTCCAAAAAGCCAGTAACGCCAACAATTCCGTAATAAAGCCTACAGCCACAGGTGCCAAAAAAGCAAGGACACTCAGTCTTAAGTGTCACATGTTCTCCCTTATGTATTCCTACATTATTCCCTAATGTCTCTGGCCTCAGGCTTAGGTTTTTATTTGTGTAAAAAAAAAACCACCAAAAAAACAAACAAACCAAAAACAAGTAACAAGGGCACCACTGAAGACAATATAATAGTAGCAGAAGTTCTACTCCGGAGTTAGAATAGATTTCTGCACTCATACTCAGATCTAAAAACGTACCAAGGGGAAAACATACCAAAATAAAAGGGCAACACAAATGAACATAGTAGGAAAAGTATTTGTGCCCAGTGCAGACTTTCCAGGGAAAAGGAATACGCATGGCAACTGATGAGCAACTCAACACAAGCTAGAAATAAAACTGGGAACAAGGGTGTGGGGTCTTGTCAGTCTGGAGTTCTCACATGCAGCATTCTATAACAGTTCAAAAAATCTTACCTGCAGAATCTGTAATCAAAGCCTCACAGAACACACAGAGCAATTGTATATTTATAGAGTAACTCAACTATTCTAACCCCTTCAAATCAAACCAGCAGCTTGACCCCTGGTAACTTCATGTACACATACACATATCACCTTCCCAAGTGAGATTAAATGCTGACTTAGCAAATGAGAGTCTTGTTCTGAGCACATTACTTCCATCCATAAAAAACACTAACCCATTATCCTGCTTAAGCATACTCAAGATTAAATAAAAGCTTTGAAGACAAATAGCCATTGCACATCCCCCCTTAGCCTAGACTCTGTCACCTTGCAAAAATACCCCCCCTTTTACTACTTCCATGCAGAGTTAGTATCCCATGCAAAACAACACATCCACAGAAGATGGCCTGGCAGACCTTTCTCTCACCTTTCAAGAGCAACACAGAAAAGCAAGTCATGCCATGCGTTTGCAATATTGCAGAATCTGGCTTACCGCTGCAGGTGGCTGAAATCCTCCATGCTGCTGTGACTGCACTTGGCCAACTGAAGCTGCATATCCCTGGACAGCAGCTGTCGAGCCTGACTGGTCATGCTGGGAACCATACGACACAGTCTGTTGACTGCTCACACACGATTCAGTATAAACAGATGACCCCTGGCCACTGTCAATCGTCCCATCAGCTGCAGAAGATAAAAAAAATCCCCCTTTCAAGAACTGCAGTCTGGATTCACAATTATAATCTATCAAATATTAGATTTATGTTTGTGCCATGTCATGTGGACCTTATCAGCAATTTACCTCTTGTAGTATTTAAGTAGGTTAAAAATTTCTTTTTACTTCCCAAATATAGTAATTCCTTACCAATATGCCTAACCCTGAAAAAAAAAAAAATCAGTAGTTTCAGGTTTTCTTTGGGAAGACACTTAACAGTAACTATACTTGCTATAAAAGGCTAGAATAGAAATAGAAACTTAAATTCCACATTGTTATGAATGAACTTTCAGGTTTTTTAATCACTGTTTTTCTGTATTTAATTCTACAGATATGTATAAAGCAGGTCTGTTGTGCTGGCTGGCAGATGCACCCGATGAAGGCACAATAGAGAGCTTAAAACCCCGACTACCTAAAGAGCAGATAGCAATTTGCTTTCTAACTTCACCATTCTAATATAGAAGTTCTTATCTACCATCATTATTCAGATACTGATTCAAATGTTGGGATAGCAGAAGAGAAAAAGCTAGGAGTGTTAATTCATCTTTTCATGTATAGTATCTAAAACAGGAAATAAAACCTTCTTTCAGAAAGCAAATTATGAGCTGAACTGCTTGTACATCAATCTCATTTCCACCTTAAACACACACTAGCAAGGTTTCAAATAAGTGTTTCTAATAACTAATTGCACCAGTGCAAGCATATGCAGCCTTCCATAGGGCCACAATATACTGTCCCTGTAGGAGGGCAGCAAAAACTAGGAGATGGTCATGCTTCAGGAGCCCCAGTTCATTTAGTAAGTTAAGTTGAAGCAAAGGAAAGTGATTTTGTGCTAAGACATTGGACTGTGAATTGTGCCAAGACTTGGCTCAGCTAAGGCACAGGAATGCATGTTATCTTGCTGTGCTTTCTAGAAAGCTAATGTTCTTCAGCAGACAGCAATGGCAGACAGCAACATCCTCAAGTACCTACTGCTATACCCACTGAAAGTTTAAGGGAGGAAACTGTAAGTGCAAGAGTTCCTGAATAAACCAACTGACACACTTACAAAGAACAGATATACTGGGTTGCTGGAACTGCAGCTGTTGGTGTTGATCAGCTTCTGGCTCTTCAGGCTCCACTTGTGTAGAAACCGATGCTGAAGTAGTGGGGACAGGTGTAGTACCAGTGACAGATAGGGGATGCTTTGACCCTGCATGGGAAGCACTTGATGGTTGCTGTTGCTCCAGCTGCTGCTTCTGACTACCTTCTTCCTGAAGCTTCTTCTCCTGTTCTTCTCGCACCAACTGACGCTGCTCTCGCTTTCGCTTAATCAAAGAAACCCTGTCCTTGATAGCTTTCGCCATTGTCTTGTGATCCCCTTCACAGACATAGCCAGATTCCACCTGAAGGAGGATACAGTCACAGAATTCAGACTGTCGTAGACAGCCACAGTTGCAGTGCTGCAATACAAGCTGCCACTCTCTGGCACTAACTTCTCATTCACAAACTGCTGAAGCTGATTTATTTCTAGACAGTAACAACAGCAAACACAGAGGCTTACAGACCACGTCTCGCTGTCTGAGAACGCCAGTACTTCCCATGCTCTGGAAGACCACCAACACTTACCATCTCCTGTGCTACATCCTCTGGGACATCTCTCTCCAAGTCAAAGGAAAACTCTATTGCCTCATTATCTTTATATTTGCCCTTGAGTTTTTTGATGTCTTCGATTCGCAGCCAGAGTTTAATGGCAATTTTCTCTCCATCATCTTCCTCTGCTAGTTCTACCCGTACTCCAGTCTCTTCTTGGAAGAAAGCATGATTCAAAAGGTCCTTAATAGCATATCTAGCATATTGGGAAAGAACGTAGAAAGCACACACAGTTACTAGGTTTTATTAAGGAATTCCCGTGCCTGATGACCCCCAGATTTATTCTCTATTTTTCATGCTTCTCCCATGAATTATTAGACAGCCCATCATTCACACTTCTATTTAAAAGCCTGATGGAGAAACAAAATGCAACAATGCCACAGATATACAAAAAAGTATCACACATTAGTCAGCAGGTACCAACAGATTTAAGCCAACTGAACAGGGTAAGTATTAACTAAAATAAGAAACCTTGAAGAAACAGTTTGCTTTTACTGAACATTAAGATCCAAAACACAAGCAAGTCAGTACAGTAATCCAAGTATGTATTTCAGTCTATTTCGAGGTCTTATCAAAAGCTTCATCTAGTAAACTCTGCACAAGATAAGCACAACATTATTCCTTTCATATTTTGTACTATTTTGAACTCCAATTCGCGTTCTGTTTGGCACAAATTAGAAGCTTTGTCCTGAGGGTACAAAAAAGAACTATGTTCATATATACACAGCATCAACAGCAGTAGTCTAGAAGTTAACCACTTGAACTAAATGGCAAGAAGTTATGCACAGCCACAAAATGAACTTAAAATTGGAAAAAGAGTACAAAATTGTTTAAACCCAAGAAAAACAGAAATTAAAAATACACGGCAACACCATCCGATGTGAAACTTAAAGGAGTTAGTTAATAGAGGGGATGAATAAACATCCATGAACTGACAAAACCAGCTCTGAACAGAATAGCTAGATGCTAGAGAACAGCCAAAGGCCGAAGCATTCTTATATCAGACATTCAGGAAGCAACAACTATGTAAAAGCAGGGGGAAAAAGAACCCCAAACCCCACAAATAAGACAAAACAGTTACAGATTTCCTGTAATGGTGTAAGTTAATCACTTCAATTAGAAGTCATCTTGCAGATAACATGGATGAAAATGAGCACAAAGAGTTTAGAAAAATAGAAAGAACTCAAAATAATCAGCCATAAAATGCCAAGAAAATGAGGACAGGAAAAACAAAGGATTACAGAATAGCTAACCAACCAAACAATCCAAATACCTGGGAACCCAAAAGGATTGTCCTCCGCTATTTTCTGACTAGTTCTAAGTTTTAATACCAGCAGTAGAATTTCTGAATAAACGAACGTGGATGGTTAGTACAGCATTTGCACCTTACCTGACAATTCTCTAAAACAATCATTGAATAAGGATCCACCAAAGAATAGAAGCTGCAGAAGTGATACTGGCTTCCCAACTTTCATCAGAACACTGAAGGTGCCAGGAACCAACTCGATCTGGTATCACAGACCCGGACTCAGCACATAATACCTCTGTTTGAAGAGGAAGCACTTACCTTTCGCCTTTGTTCTGCCGAATGCATCCCTCAATGATCTCCTTCACTTCAGGGATTGCTACTTTATCAAAGCTGGCTGGCTTGACACCCTGGAACACACAAGCAACAGAGAAACTGGAAGACCCAGATTTACATTTTGATTGTGTTTACAGACCAACTTTTTTTACTCAATAGATAATTGGCCTGAGTTCCCCTCTAGTGCAAATTACAGCAAAATCTGGCCCCAACTTGCTGTTCATCTGTTTGTGACTTGTGCAAACGTTGCCCCCTCCCCCTATTTCTCAGCCACACTTCCATAACAGAAGGCATTGGCAGTGAGGTTCTCAGTTATGATTGGAGAACCATTTGGTTTCTGTGGAAGTTATGCTGGTCAGAGGCGAGTACACAGACTGGACTGAAAATGAAATGTTTCCGAAGTAACCCTAATGCACAAACCCACATGATTAATTCAACAGTCCTCAAAGGATTCTGCTGCTTCCCAGAATGTTTTCAACGTGTCATTACATGAAGTAATTTTGGCATTGATTGATTTTACAGGAAAAACCTTAGCCCAGAAAGCTCTGACTGAATCATTAAATAACTTGTCCAATTAAAAGAGGCAAATTAAAAAGACTTCCCTGTATCTTAGCACTCCCCAGAAGACCTACTATGCTGAAACCACACTCCTGCATCACTGCTGCTGAGTTCAGGAAAATCAGCTTAGCAATACAGACCTTTACAAAAGCCCTTCAACAACACACGGCAATCCTTTCTCTAATACACGCTGAAGCCATTGGGGAAGAGCAAGACAGAATGTAACTATGAACAGCTACTCAAGTCAGCAAAGCAAATAGGCCATGAGATACGACCATCTGGGAATTCTGCAAAATGCTGCAGGCAGCAAGCCAAGCTTCATCACTTAATCATGGCCAGAAGCTCGATTTCAGGGGCAATTGTCCACCACAGCAAAATTTGGCACTCAATTTTACTTGATTCAGCCTTTAGCTTCAAATTCTGTGTTTAAGACAGCAGAAAGAGAGAGGATTACAGCATCCTGTTCAAATTCTGTTTTATTAAGAGCCCATGTTTTCAAGCCAAACAATCCTGAAAACCATACACTTGATACATCTGACTTTGTCACTGGTAAATCACAACTAAACAAAAATTGAAAATCATAGAGAGCCTGAAGTACAGAAATATATGTAGTACTACAAGCAGCACGATTTGTGTCCTCAGAAAGAGCTTCTCCCAACATCCTACACAATACTGGTTTCCACCAAATGGGGACAGTAAGACACAATCCCTCCCCCTTCCTCTATCATCAGTGGGAAACAAATCTCAAAATACAGAAGTCTGAGTCTGAACCAGAGCCTCTGCAATACTGAACTTCATTTAACTGAACATGGAGACTTAAGATAATAATTTCCATCTACATGCAAACACTTTTCTTCCCTTGGCCAGACATGGCAGTGTAGTGACTTCGTATATTCACCACCTAGAATATTCTCTACCACACTCTTCCAGGAGAGGGCATAGTCAACATCAACTTTGACAGATGCAAACACAAGACTGGGAGAAGCACAAGAGTCCAGTCTTTCAGTGGACAACAGTGCTATTTGTCACTACATTTTACGAAGGTGTCATATCTCGAGTTTTTAAAAGGACAAAATACCCACCATAGGAACACACGTTTTTTCACTTCATAGAAACTTCCCGTTACAACAGCATTCTCAGTCATTTCTTTGCTCTAAAGTTTGCTCTTATGAAATTCTAGCAATTGAAGTTCACAGCACTGAAGAGTATATTGTGACTAGAATAAGCCCTGAAACACAGCCTGTCAGTGAACATTAATTTCATGCTTTTAAAAGCTTCACTGAACATTAGGACTTTTGGAGATCAATGCTTCAGCTGATAAAGACACCAGACAGAAGTTTGGATGGGTAAGTTTAACACTTACACCAGGTCATACTACAAAACTCTACACCCTATACTCTATACTATAAACACATACATACATAAACTATGCAGTAATTATTCAACTGCTTACTGTACATATTTGTATGTAAAGTTGCCAAAGTTTAAGACATCTACATCTCAAATAGCTCAAGGCCTGGAGATCGCACGTTTACGCTGTGGCAGTAGAAGGAAGATGTCAGATCTGTGAGAATCTCATTTCAGAAAAACTAAGAGCTGAGTAAGACAACTGGTACAGCAAAACATAACCATAATGAAGTTAGAACATGAGTTTTCTTGTTAACTATTTTACCGCATACTCTATTTCTTGCATGAAGCCTGGAAAGGTAAAGTTGAGAATGGATTTTAAAAATCAGTGATTCAGTCTGCTACTCTGTGTTTCTTGATCCTAAAAGAAACTAAGAATATCCGTCCAGAATCTTCAGGCCCTTCCATGAGGGCCATTCTACAATACCTCATTTTGTGAACTCCAAACTAAGAGTTCAGTTAGAGAAGCTCCTGCCAGTCTCCTCCAGCACAGCTTTTATGTTCTTAACTGCTCCTCAAAAAATCCAGGAGAACCTCACCCTGGAGCCTAAAGCCAAGAGAGGATTCTGCAGTCAAGCAGCTACCTATTTCTCCATGTGTCCCACGGGCCATGAGAAGGGTTGCCTAAGCCTAGCCTACAGCCTGGCCAAGCTGCCCTTGTGCAGAACTTCAGGCCACTTCAGTACCATCAGCTCTTACCTTTTTTTTTGTTTCCTCCTATAAGCACTAGGGGAAGTGTTAAGCTATTTTACATAACCAGACAGAGGATACTAAGAATGATAAAAATCACTAAGTCAGTGAACCCTTTTTTACGCAGAGCTGCCCGTAACACCTTAATCTGCCATTGCAGAGAGACCAAAGGGAGGCCAGGCCCTGCAATTCATGTAACCTTGATGTGTCCTTAGAAGCACGTGAACTGTGCAGCCAGGCACACGCTCATTAGCTTCTGAACTCAAAGGCACTCAAGTACATACTAAGCTAGTCAGTAATTCCTGGTTTTCGTGACACTTACTGCAAGATGGTCATGTTCCTACAGGCACTACAAGATGGTCATGTTCCTCTACGCTTCTCTTGGTCCCCAAACTCCTCAGAAGACTCAAAGGACAACTCAAATCTTTAAATCTACTAGTCCTCATCCCCAGGGGCAGTGTACTGAGAATTAACACCTGAATCCCACTAGCATTCTCTCTGAGTTTACTAAGAATAGAAGAAAGAGCTCTTGCAGAGAGACAGATGTAACAGGCACACATGAAAGCCATCAACACTTTCTCAGGCTCCCATCTAAACAAGCATGAATTGGCCGTGCTGCTGAAAGTAGTGTTTCCTGTTCTCCATCTCCCATTCCTAGAGCCACGCCATTTCCTCCCTTTTGCTGGCACATGCATTTGTACAGCTGCATAATGATCCAGATCACTGGGTTTATCAGACTTTAAACAAATCCAGCCCAAATGCAAGCCTGCAGCCGTTTCCAGTGAGAGGAAGCTCCCCAGTCTGTTTAAGCTCTCAGGCTCACAGAAGGAAAATGATAGTGCAGTAGTTAACAAGGGCAGAACTGCTTCTTTTGAAAGAAGTGCTAACTTAAAATAAAACCCACTGAACTCGTACGTTTTTGAGAGCACCTTTAAAATAAAGGCACATATGTAGAGAACCTGAAGCGTAAGTGATGCAAAACCGAATACTTATCTTACAGCTGTCATATTAAGCTTAAACAGAGGTTTCTTATTTCTCTTATTTTGCATGTGGTAAAGTTTGTGATTTTATCAGATTCTGATCATGGGGGGGGAAAGGGGGAGGGAAAGTGTTCCAAAACTCAACATACACATTTATATGGTTATTTGATGCATTAAAAACAAGTTACTCCTACAAACACTAGGTTTTCAAGATACTTAAACACCAAAGTATAAGTTACCCAGAACATCTCTTCACAATTTTTGCCTCGCAACACATAGTATTCTGCATTAGTTAATCACCAGATTGCTGGGGCAGTGGTTTTGCATCAACTTCTAATGCAAGAGATACTGAAAATACAATTTACTTCCAAAAAGAAGGTACAATCAGTGCTCTGTAACCTTTACACCAAACCAAAGTGAAGACAGAGGAAGTGTTACATACCCTCAGCAATCTTAAATTGAAAAATACACTCAGATCTGGAATAACAACAACATAAATGGAAAATAACAGAAGCAATAAGTGTTCCAGCCTCAGTGTTCAGGATTTTAAACTGACATTTAAGAAGTTAGGGAGGGAAAACGTAGTCAAGCTTAAAAGCTGAAGACGCAAGTTATGCAAATGTAAAGCAGTTCAGCAGATTTGTTAAGAATTCTGATTCACCCAAAATCCTCTTCTGCGGCTACACGCACTTAGTCTATAGAGCTGAAATTCTTACTTACCTCTTTAACGCAATCCTTGTGAGAGCAGCAACAGTGGGAATTAACAATTACAAATACGGGACAGATCTCTCTTTTTGTAAAATCCATCAGGAAAGAGAGACACACACAGCAAAGAGTGAGCTGGGTTGTTTCCAATGAGAATCCACTAGGCTGTGGACTTAACGCACAGCGGATGGAAAGCAGACATCCAAGTTAGAAGGGAGCATTGTTTTCTCTTTGACACCTCTTGTACTTTTCCAAGTCCAGTACATGAGGCTGCAGAGATTTGAGCTTAATATTTGCTTTTGCCCCTCAAATACAGAATAGAAAGAATGAATATAAACAGGAGTAAGTGTCCTCTGCCTGCTCAGCTCTCGCTGTAAGGAGGAGGGAAGAGGAGGCAGTGCAGGGATCCTTTACTTCCTGCCTGTCCCCGCCTCCCGGCTTGGCTACTCTGCCTATTCTCCACCCCAGTTTTCTGCCATAGTTGGAGGCTGCATGGAGGACCATCACCCACTCCAGTCTTGCTGCTGCAGAAGTACACTTTTAAAGAGAGGAAGACGGGTCAGCCCCATGTGTTGTTCTGACCCCAGTTGCTGGCACTAGCTCTGTAGTGGGGGGAGGATGAAGGCAGCTGCTGGTTTGCCTTTTCTTTCCATGGAGCTACTGAAGTACACTTACACTAGCTAACTTCCACTGAATCCTAGCAGAACACAAGACCCCACTAGCATAACACAACA